CCCGAGATTAGAGCCGCGCGGCCGGGATCCGGGAGCCGCAGGGGCCCTCCCCCTCCTCCAGGCCGGTCTCTAGCGATGGCCCCAGAGCCCTGCCCCAGGGCCATCAGTGCAAATAATCAGAGACACCCAGACGCCCCCCGCCGCTCAGGCCTGCAGGCCGGATTCTCAGCCCGCGGCGCGGGGCCTCTCGGTGGGTGCAGGTGAGAACGCTTTTCAAAAGCATCAGCGTCCACGGCCTCTGGGAGCCGGAAAGCTAGTGCCTTAGGAAGGAGGCGCCTCTCGGTGAGTGGTGAGTGGTCGTGCCGGCTGCCCCCTCCCAGCGGTGGGAATAGCAGCGCAGCCGCATCCGCAGACCCCGCTCGTCCCTGGGAGCACCCCAAACGCGGAGCAGAAAGGACGGAGACAGAATAGGCCGAGGAGGCCGAGGCCGCAGCTCTGTCTGGGGCCAGGTCTGGAGGTGATTCCCGCTGTGGGTCCTGAAATGCTGATAAAGCTGGAGAAGGAGAACCCCGGCCGGCCTTGTTTGATGGTGCAGGGGGAGGGGCTCCCCTATCTCTCCGTCCTTAGGGTCCCCCACCCCATCCTCTTCTTTTTTCATTGACTCACACGTTGTCCGTTCTCCAAAGAGCCAAGCCCATGATTCTCATCCCAGTTCTGCAAATGCTTCTTGTCTCTCTTTTGCGTCTCTTAGAGTTGTGTTTGTGTTGTTTTTTTGGGGGGGGGGCAGAGTTATTTGTATGTTTGATTGTTTCTTCTCCCCTTTAATTCCAAAAGTTGTCACCAGGCTTTGGGGGGGGGGCGCAGTCCTTGCTCCCGACTTGCTTCGCTCCCGTTGGGGCGAAAGTGCCCTACGTAGGGAGTTAATTTATTAAGCAAACTTTATTAAGAATTCTGATTTACTGCCCTGTGTGCTTTGGGTAGATTCCTGGAATATTACCCTGGCTTTTTCAGTTGGAAATTGTCATTTTTGAAATGTTTCTTTTTAATGAAATCACTGGACCCTTTTCAAAACAGGAGGGGAAAAAATCGGACTATTTTTCGAGCGCCTATATGAGGAGGCTCATTTTGGGGGTAGAGTGCGGGGTTTTATCTGGAAACAAAGGGGTTTTCATTTTTCTTACAATCTCATTTTCTTTATTATTTTTAGATTATTCTAAATTCCATGCACAAATACCAGCCCAGATTACACATCGTGAAAGCCGACGAAAATAATGGATTTGGCTCAAAAAATACTGCTTTCTGCACCCACGTCTTTCCTGAGACGGCGTTTATCGCGGTGACTTCCTACCAGAATCACAAGGTAAGTCCAGGGCCCCGGGAACCCATGCCGGGGTCTGCCGGCTGGTCCCTGACTCTGCAGGGGTCTCCGGCTGGAGCTGCAGGCTCTGGGCGGCTCCGCACGCATGGCAGGCACCAGCGTCTACTCCAGGGGTTGGGCCTGGGGCAGAGCCATGGCCTGAGGATTGTAGCTTTTTTGTTCTATATTCATGGGTTTGACAGACTCCTTTCCCTCTCTCCCTCTCTCTCTCTCTCTCTCTCTCTCTCTCTCTCTCTCTCTCTCTCACACACACACACACACCAGTTAGAAACAAACGTATCGCACTCAGCTACAACGAGGAGGCACCCACTACACCCCAGACATTCTCAGTGAGAAGAAAGGCCACTTCACCCATGACAGATGCTCTTGGGTGGGGCCGGGCCGCCCTTCCTGGGGCCACGTTTCTGTGGAGATCAGTCTCCTGCTCCCCTCCCTCCCTCTGCCTTTTGGATGCATTTCAACTCCAATCTGGGCAGGTGGCAAGGTTGCCGGAAACCTTGGGCTTGGATTTTCCAGATGCTTCTCTAATTGGTTTCAGTG